AAAGATTAGTGATGTGCCGGATCGTTAACAAAGTATATCCGCGGATACGGATCCGAATACGGATATTTGGTGTCAAGATCCGCGGATACGGATACGGATACGGATCTTAAGTTTCTTTCTCAATCGGAGCCCGTGACCTTGATAGTTGTCGCCACTTGACGCTTTGCCGTTGATATTTAAATATTTCATTATTTTAATAAGCTAATACAAAGATGTTTGATTGATCTCATTATAAAGATAGCTCTTTCAGTACCTACGACCTGCCTAGTTGATTTAGTATAGTACGATAAATGATTGCAATACAAAGGTGCCAAATATTTGTTTTAAGAAATAAAAAATAATCTGAACAGAATTCAATAGTTTTTCATAGCTCCCTAATAACCATTATTCAGGGTTATTTTAAATTTACTGAAAACCTCTGAAGTGCATATTAGTAAAATTATAAACAACAACTTTTCTTCTGGACTAACACCGAAAACGAAAGAAAAAAAATTGTTTCTCCATACAAACTAACAACATTTGATTGGTTATTTGAATGGAGAACCATTTTTTTTTCATTTTGACGTTGGCCAGAAAAAAAGTTGCTGTTTATAGTGTTACAAACACATACCTAAGAGTTTTACAGTGAATACAAAATCACCTATATAGAATTTCATCTATGTAATATGTATTGAAAGATCCGCCAAAAAAGTCACGGATACGGATACGGTTACGGATCTCTCTTCTCCCTTGGATATCCGTATCCGTATCCGGATACGGATATCCGGCACATCACTAGAAAAGATTTACTTGCAGCAATAAATATCATTTCATCTCATGTCTTACCAAGTTTGATCAAATACTAAATTTAAGATACATTTTAGTTCTATATAAGGACTAAATCTGATTAGTTCTTATCAAAATTTCCTATAAAATAACAATAATTTAAAAGTGTAGCAGAAATTATTTCCAGCTTGTGTTCCATAGAAGAGGAATGTTACTAAAGCCTCAAGAGTTACATCTATTTAGAAATCCATAGAATTAGTTATAATTTTCCTATATTTTCCTTCCTCCTCTTAATATCGCAAATCACGTTGCAGATGATTCTTAAAATAAAATTACCTCAAACGCGCGAACGGCGTCTCGGACAACAGCTAGTACTGAACATTATCCTTCATATTACATAAAAATTGTATTATCTATACAAATAAATAAAATTTAAGTGACTGCTGTAATGTCAAAGTAAAAGGGTTTTTTCATGCTCACATGGTTATTGGCACGATACTTATGCCTATCAACCGATTTTGATAATATTTTACTACTTGGTAGTGTCTGTATGTAGAAACCCTTTTAAAACTTTGCCTGTAGCCACGTATGGGAATTCAGTTCAAAAACCATTTTTTTTTAAAGACAACTCCCGCATTAGGAATATGTTCCTGTTCAGAACAATAATTTGTGGATTACACAAAGTGTCGTCCCATATGGGGTTTGAACCCACAACACTCGGCGTAGTGCCATTGCAGTGCAAACCACTACGCCATCAGTGCAGTCAATTTATTTTATTTTAGTATTGAGTAGAGAAATATTATTATAAATTGAATTAAAAAGAACAAAAGTTTTAAGTTGATTCTATTGTTTTAGGTTTGTTAATCCAGAACGGCATCATTTATGGACCGATTTGGAAATGTTTCGTTTTTAGTTGAGAGGCTATACTCGTTTGGCCCCATTCAAACTTGAAGAAATCATACTACTTCTAAGGGCAGAAAATTAAATCACGCAGTATATTTTAAAATTAATCACAACTAAGAAATAACAACACATTGAATTAAGCGATATTTTTTACTGTTAATGTTATCTTCAAGTAAATTTCCGTGATAATTAATTGTTGTTACGTCATAATATTTGTAATGATGAATGTTATAAAAACTCGACAAAGAGACAAAAAATAAATCCAAAAGAACAATTGTTTTCGATCCCGTAGAAAACTGTAATTACAGTTACTTAATTATGTAATTACAGTTACTTAATTATGATTAAACGGGACAACTAACATAGTGTTGTGTTTCTAATAATGAAGGAGGATATGGTTATGAACGTGGAAGTAATAAGGTTGTAAATACCTACAATTGTTTATTTGTAACTAGCTTTTTTCCACGGTTTGCTTGCATTAATGTAGACAATCTTTATCCATAAAAAAGTACCAAAAATCTAATTGGAAATCCAGAGAACGTGTACCTGGGTGAATATTAGTTCTTTTGAATTCTTAAGTTTACTACGTTATTGACCTTCTACAGAAATTAAATTTACTGCTGGTTATTGTTCTAAAATACAAGCACATATACAAGATATAGTGACAAGAATTTCAATACATTTTTTTTTCAAAGGTTATTTTATTTTCACAAAGATTATTACGTTGCGGGGAATGATGCAGTAGTAAAAATAATGAAGAACCATCCACCTATACAAAATTTCCTATTGATCGATTGAGTCATTAGTGTAAAAACGTAAACAAACTCAAGTTTGCATTTATAATATAACTAAGAATTCTACCTCATTGTTACAGAGCAAGTCGACTACTTATTTGCATACTTAATACTAACAACTAAAATTAAAAGTGACTTGACAACTTTTCAAATTTCTTATCGTACCATTTTCGCCTTATCGTCTTCATGACAATTGATAACAAGAGGCCTATGTGAATTGAAAGGTATTTAAAATAATATTAATGTAAGATAATATTTTGTTCGTGCCCGGCTCTTCTACAGTTGAATTGTCCTGCTATGTATTTTATATTTTTTACAGGACAATACCGCCATTTGTACTTGTCTAACCTTTTCTTTCTTTTTTATAAAAGACAACTCCCGCATTAGGAATACATTCCTGTGTCGCGGGGGACTTTACAAACATACATGAAACGGACACAAAGAACACCCAGACTTAGAACAACAATTTGTGGATCACACAAAGTGTCGTCCCATGTGGGGTTTGAACCCACAACACTCGGCGCAGTAGGAAGCGGCGTGGCGACCGCTTAAACCACTACGCCATCCGTGCAGTCGTCAGTGTCTAACCTAGTTTAAGATAATTATTATTGTATATTTATACCTGGTGTACAATAAAGCGATATATTATTATTAATTTCGCCGATATCTGTGTGGTGACAGATTAAGAATACAAAGGGTCACCACCCCTATTCATCCCGTGGGTGTCGTGAGAGCCGACTAAGAGAGGCAAACTATGCAGGACAACAGCAGAACAAGCAACATGAGAAGGAAATCTTGAAACAAACCCTATACTAACTCGTCTGGCCAGCGTGGTATAGTAGGCCAAAACCTCCTTTCCAAGGAGAAGCCTACGATGAGCAGTGGGTTATGAAGAGCTGTTGTTGATGATGATTATGAAGTGCTGTTGTTGATGATGATTATGACGATAATAATTTTGACGTATCATTAATAAAAATAACTTATTTCAATAGATTAAAATAATGACTCTAAGGAAAAAATTAACAAACACTATACACAGATATCATTTGCATAAAATAAATATGTTAGACGTATATCCTAGGTACACACGGCAAACAACATATCTGGTAAAATTTACATGTGTGTGTTACTTACCGGCAAAGTATATCGTTATACGTTCACACGTGGGACGAATACAAATAAATACCTCGTTCCGTCACTCATACATTTGCAAATTATTCTTTTCCCAAAACCATTCTGCGTTATTCATTTCGATTTTCATTAAAATCCTCATAGAAGTATGGCAATGATCTTGTGTTTAATTTGCCGTGGGTTATGTATTATATTAATCACTCACTAACGCTAACATTTAATGTTTTCGTTGTAAGCAATATAGAAGAAACATACGCATTAGAATGTCAAGTCAGAATAGTTCCTCTTTATTATTTCAAAACGGTATGTGTCGTAGAAATTTGTATGAAACAATGAATTATGACGTCATACCTAATTATCGCCTAATCATATTTATTTTAAAAAGGGAAGAGTCATCATCGTCATCAACAGCTTTTAGTAGTCCATTGCTGGGCATAGGCCTCTCTTTAGAAAGGAGGTTTTGGCTTACTATACCACGCTGGTCAGGCGGGTTGGTATAGGGTTATAGGGTCGTCTTACGACACCCAAGGGATGAAAAACGGGTGGTGATACTCCGTATTCTTAATCCGCCGGATGAATACGGGAAAAAGAGAACAATATCTCATACAAATATAGTTTTTATAGATACTTATTTTTTGGAGGCCTGTTACACAATTTATTTTAATCTAAAATGAATTTCAGTATTATAGACGGGTACAGTTATTTGTATAGTTTTAAAATCATCCAGGGATACATAAATCTACAAGTTATTTTCTGAAATTTATCCTTCTATCTTCCACAACCCTATCAACAAATCAAATACCACTCCCGGCTGACTACCTAAAATTTACAGCATCGCCTCGCTCCATTGACTGATTGATTGAATGCACTGGCAATATTGTCCAGTGCTGCTAGTGCATTCCATCTAGTAGTTTTGTAAATCTAATATCGTTCTACGTGTTGAAATGAACTCTATAAATATGAAACTGCGAAATCAATGTTTGTTGTTTTATCTAGCTTCAAAACACTATTATTGTCGATGTCATTACTAGAGTTCGAAGTTTAAATGTATTATATTGTGCTTTTACTTTCTATCAAAACTGATGCACGTATAGATAAAAATTCAATTCCAAGAATTGAACTTAACGTGCATACATAGTTACAACAAAATCTTGTACAAAAATATATTTATTTTTTGTCATATTTCATTCATATAAAAGTTATCGATTTATTCGCTATTATGGTTTGCTGTATATTTTAATCAGAACAGTAAACACTACCGCCTGTCCACAGTCAATGCTCTACAGCCATCGTAGACCTCTCCCGTTTTATCTCGTACCAGAGATATTTATGTTTATACTTTTTTATTATATACATACAAATGTTTTGCTGTCACTATTGCTTAATTCGAATTCTATGTTGTTACAGTCAAAAGCTCCGAAGCTCTTGGCGCTCACTTGCGCCGATTGGCTCGCGAGGCGGAATCTAAACTGCATGAAGTGACCGGCTGCGTACCAGAGAGGACCTGCAGAGAAGATGCATGCACTAGGTAAGTGACATTTTATGAACTATATTAAATAAACCATAAATAATAATAATAATGATTAAATAAATACATCAACCAAACAAGTTAAATGCCTAGATAAATGCACAGACAATGTCTAAACAATTATTGTGAAAGCAAATAGTTAATTAGCAGTAAATTCTAGTTGTTCTAGGTAAGAAGTATAGTCTTATTTCTTTATAAGAGTAATATAATTACATCACTTTAAAATGATCAATAATTACGTGAATTTGATTCTTAATTATGCAATTTTAGAAATTGAATAGCGTTGGCAAATTTTTTTTTTTTTTTTTTTTTTAAAATTTTTTTTTTTTTTAAAAAGACAACTCCCGCATTAGGAATAAATCCTGTGTCGCGGGGGACTTTACAAACATACATGAAACGGTCACAAAGAACACCCAGACTCAGAACAACAATTTGTGGATCACACAAAGTGTCGTCCCATGTGGGGTTTGAACCCACAACACTCGGCGTAGTAGGAAGCAGCGTGGCGACCACTTAAACCACTACGCCATCCGTGCAGTCAAATTACTTTGTATAACCAAACGAACTTTTTATCAACAGCCTTGAATATTCCACTGATGAATGTAGGCCTCTCCTTAGAAAGGAGATTTTGTCCTAGTTTATACCACGCTGGCCAGACGGGTTGGTATAAAGTTTTTTTAAGTTTTCCTTCTCTTTGCAGTGCTGTTGTCCTGCAGAGTTTGCTTCCTTAGTCGTCTCTTAGGACACCCACGGGATGAATAAGTTTAATATACCTTAAGTTATATCCAGGTCGTCAGCAGCAAGTCAAGCTGCTGGTACAACAGGGTGCGCGGGCGGCGCTGGCTCCGAGAAAGACAAACAGGCGCAACACTGGGAGAGAAGAGTCAGAACTCTTAAGTGAGTTTATTATCTATTTACATTACAAATATTTATAGGTTGCAAGTACAGGGGATACGGGTCTTCCCTTTGCGATTTAATAAGGTATAGGTAGGTATAGGTATAGGTATACCTATTGATCATTAAGTCCTCTATTGATAAGGCGGATCTTTGAAAGTTAGTATAAAACAATAATGTTACACCCCTACTAGTCAAATTTGGGAGCCGCGCTAAAACGTTATAAATGTCGTTACTAGTTCTGTTTTGACCAGACAAATCGGTGACGCTCTGCACACGAGTAGGACAATATTTATGCCGTAGGCGAAAACATCCGGCTTCTCTATAACCAAGTCATTTTTCATTACATTATATTAGGTAGTATACAATTAACTTTACCAATGACACCAATTTTTTGCAGAAATAATATTGTTACTCTTTAGCAAGTCCATAAGCTAGTCTAATTAAAAAGTATAAAAGAATCTTCGCATGGGTTCAGAATTATTCATAACATGTCTCAAGGCTTCTGTTTTTCTTTCAATCATTATTTAAACAGGACAATTTTTTGTAATGTTCAGTAATAATAATTCCTCTCTTTATGTTTACGGTAATTAACGTAATCACAAAAGGTATTAAGTACATAACTTTGATAAGCCTGACGTTTCGACCAGGTTTGAATTCTTGTGAACATAATTCTGTTAATTATAATGTAATGTAAATTAAATATAATAATTATAATGGAACGCGACAGTTTATTTTTTTTTCTTTTTCAGACGCTTAGTGCTAGGCTGGCAACAACTACGAGTACCACCAGGTCCTTCCCCAGCTGAGTTAGAAGTCTGTGGTGCTCATGCGGTCACCATTAAACTGAAGGAAAATAAAACCACGCCACCTGCCCAGAAGGATCCGCCTTTTATAACTAAGTATAAAGGTTCGTTTAAAAGAATATACGAAACCACAAAACAGGTTTACTATTTTTAGAACGATATATATATTTTGGCATCTTAGCGGTGATAAATAATAATAATAGATCCACGCCCCTAACTAGACAGACCCTCTACTTTTTCCAATTTATAATGTGAATGTTATCCCTGACCAGTTTTAATTATTCCCTTATTTAATATGATTTACTTCAACAGTGGAATGGTCATCACGAGCAGATTTCTCGAATGTATGCGGGTGTCGTGAAGTAGCCGCGTCCGGAACCAACAGTGGCACAAAGGTGTTAGCGGCAGGCCTGACGAGGGGTCGACGGTACTTCTTTAGGGCTGCTGCTGGGAATATCAAAGGATGGGGGCCGTATACTGTGTCTATACCCAAAAGTGTGGTACCTAGCAGTGAGTATTATTTCATTAATTTTAAAGGTGTATTTGCAACTACTACGCCATAGCGTGTTCATACAAATGTAATTTTATGTGTGATGAATGCATCGCTGCGCGTCAATGTCAGCATAAAACTAAAACTATTGCTTAGTACGGTTTGCTCGTACAATTTAAGAGGGCAAAAAGTATGATTTCAGTACAGAGCTTTTTTTGTCAGCTTTGTATTTCATCGTTTGTTGTTTCTTACACTTACAGCTTGTCAAAAACATGGCATAGTCCAGGTTCCTTCAATATACTAATTAGTCATTTTACATACATTTTATTTCGTATATCAGCAAAAATTTGTTCTTTTTCTGGACTTATATTAAGACAATAACTTCATTTATATATTAATACGTGAAGAGACTTCTTTGTTTGCATTTTTAAACAAAAGTGTTTCAAGATAAGAATGGTAAATTTGGAATACTTAAATGAAAAGAAATGCTCTGTGTTTTTTTAGGACCTTTCATACGAGTATAATCAGATTTGATTTTATTGAATGATTTTAATGAACTATTATTAGAGAAATTGAAACTAATGACGCATACTGAATTTGAAAACATAATATTTGCAAATGTATGAGTGGAGAAAAGAGTTATTTACAATTCACATAAATGTGAACGTTTAATAATATACTTACCTTAATAACACACGCATGTAAACCTGACCAGGGTCAATTCTCGTAATAAATATTTGTTCAAAATTCAGTGCCGATCTACTCTCAATTTCACAAACGTCATAAAAGGTATTCTTGTTGTAAAGTATTACTACGACTCGCAGAATACCGATTCAACTTTAGGTCACAAAATTTACGATATAATGACATTACAGTCAATGTTAGATGTTTATACTTTACTTCGAGAATACTTTTTATGACATTTGTGAGATCGAGAGTAGATCGGAAAAGAATTTTGAAAGATCTTTTTTACGAGAATTGACCTTCAGTTTTTATTTATTACCTTTAAAGAACTGTATTCTTATAATTATTTTTTGAAAGGTTTTTGTATGGTTAACTAGTAACCAAAATAACTATAATTTTGGTTACTAGTTATAATTTTAGTAATTTTGGTTAAGGGGTCACCTAAACCAAAATCAAACACCCTCCAGTTAAGCTAAATTGCTTGTGTTAGGAGTGGGTTCACGTCGGTAGCGTACTGGTCAGGATTCGAACCACCATTAGTTTTAACTTGTAGGCGTATATAATATACGACCTTAGCGGTAGATTAACATTAGTCTGTGGCACCAGGTTGGCGCGACGTGTGCTCCCGCGGGTGCCGCGGCTCGGGCGGCGCGGCGGCGGCGCTGGAGGCGCTGACGGCCGCCGCGGCCAGCGCGCGCTCCCGCCCGCTCGGCCCGCACGCGCGACAATCTCGCAAGAAAACAGCCACCATACGACAGCTTTTCACCGCTGCTAGCAAGTTCCAGAAGAACTTACGGAGGTAATTTTTAAGATGGGTATCGCAGGATCGCTGCTAAAACCTGATAAGTGCTTACTGGTTACTTGATAACATGGACCGACCTCCGGCAGGGCCATACTACGGCACAAATAGGCAGACTCGACTAGAGTGAACTCGGCCTCGCAGCCGGTGTTAAGCAATTCTTTCGTTACTAATAAAATGTAAAACTACATGAATAAGTGAAAACAATTTAAACCTTCATATCTAGTCGCACAAAAATAATAATAATATCTACCATCTTTTAAATGAGATCAATGGTTTGCAAAAGTTGGCAATATTTTTGGTTTTTTTGTGGATGTTTGTTAGAAAACAAATTATATCAAAATTAAAAATGATGTGATGTTTGTATTTATTCCATCATATGGAATGTCCATTTTGAATTTTTAATATTATTTATTTAAAAAAAAAATCACCGAAGACACTTAAAAAAACCATTACAGAAACTATGTGCTACGTATTATGACGTAACTCAACACTCCCTAAAGAATTAGATTCCATGTTTAAACGCGTTTCTATTCTTCCTTCCAGAGGCGTTTACTTGGCGTGTATACTCTACCACGAAGACAAAGTGCTGGTGACGAGCGAGGAGTTCCTACCGGTTATCGAAGTGGACGAGACATATCCTACGTGTATCTATACTGACTTCCACTGGCTCATGAAGGTATATATCATAATATGTTAGAATTGACTAAATCAGGGATTCCCAAACTATTATAAGCAAGAGACCCCTTTCTAAAATGAACTGATACCTCCATAGCCAAATTACTGCACAGTTATCGACTTTTTGAGTTTTTTAAAAGTACCTCAATTATACTTCAATTATCCTCATAACAAGTTGGCACACGTAGTACAACTAACAGAGTATCTTAAGTTCAAGTAAGAACGAGTGTTAATTAATAGGGGTCGCTTTTTAGACCTTGTTGGCCCCCAAATATGTTTTCTGTTATGTGACCACTTTGGGAATCCCTGAACTAAATCATAGCCTAAACAGCTAATGATAACCCTGGATCTCTAGCCTAAACGAATCATGAATGGCTTAGCTTTTATCACACAGCAAGATGTAACACGTTTCTTCATTCTTTTTTATGACATAGAACTCTGTTTTTTCTGTTAAAGTAGGTAATCAGTCAAAACCAAAATTTTGAAATAATAATTATGAAAAATATGATATTGTTGGTTAGTAGTAAGTAATTTTTTGTGAAAGTAAAAGTTTTTCATTACTAATGGAATTTCTCCCTGAAATTGTTTATCTGGGCCATACACACGCAATACAAAAAATACCAATTCAAACTTTACGATTCTTCATCGATCGTAAGAGAGATGTTTTACTATTTAATGGATGTTGTTTGTTGTAGGAAAAATAATACGGGAACAAAGAAGTTTTACTTATACTGCCATAAACAAAAGCATTAGAATAAACTTTTTTAATTTATTTATTTTTTGTCGTTTGTTAAGTGTACACTCCACTTAACATACGGTATTTTTTTTAAATTTGGAATGTTCTATTTCAATTAATACATATTTTCATTTAGTGCTTTACCTAAAAATAATAATACATAAATTATTTAAAGAGCACCATATTTAGTTCTGTGCCTGGATGTAAATTATCTATGATTTTGTATGTGTACAGATATATTTATGTACGTTTATCAGCTAGTTGCTGGCTGTTGGACTGGTTGCCATAGTACAGGCTCTGCCTAGTTTAGAATCAGATGGCTCTGTGTGAGGTGTATTGTGAGATGTTTTATTGTTATGATTTATTATACTACACATCGGTAGAACATTTATTATCTGTATATCGTGGTAAAAGCCGAAAATCGATCGAAGTGGCGTGCAATGGGAGATGCCCATGTCCAGCAGTGGACTGCGATAGGTTGATGATGATGATATCGTGGTTTCTTCGATTGCGAAAGATTAAATCTGTATTTTTATTTATTTCTAGGTATCGTGTGCATGGGATGATGTGAAGGCGCTACGTTCAGACATGGAGAAGCATACGTCCTCGTCGATACATTTCAGACTGAAGTTGCTCACAGCAGCCGCGCAAATGCAATCCGCCTTGTGTATACAAGACTTAGGTAGGCAATTTTTTATTTAACACACGTATCTTGTCGCCTGGTCAATTGCCGCCTAAACTTTTGATTAAATAAAACTTAATATGATTTATGATTAGCTAGCTTTATCCTTTACTTAAATTAGTTTGAGTGATGAATGCAGTCACCTCGCCGTTTGCTACCGCGCTGAGTGTTGTGGGTTCGATCGCCACATGGAACAACACTTTGAGTGATCCACAAATTGTTATTCTGAATGTTCTTTGCTTCAGTTTCATGAATGTTTGTAAAGTCCCCCGCGACACAGCATATATTCTTATAATTCGTATATGTGTAGGCATGAAATATCCCTTTTCTATCCTTGTAGGTCAATTGTACCACAAGCCCCTGCGAGACTCTCACGGCACAATAGTGTTGTCGTGCGTGAACAGCGTGAAGTCTGTGAAGTCGGTGTCGGCGCTCAACTCGCGGTGGGCCGGCGTGGCGCGGCTCCGGCGCAGAGTGCTCAGCGAGGACAACACCATCGGGGAACTGCTCATGGCTTCTGTACACGAACAGATCGCTTACCATCAGGTAAATTATTTTGTGATCGTTACGAAACTGTTGTTGTCTGGTCTATTGGGGTACTGGTTAGTGACCCTGACTACTGAGCCGGAGGTCGTGGGTTTGATTCCCACCCAAGACAAATATGGTGTCTTGGTGTAATTCATCTAAAATATATATGTATTTAGAAATATATAAGAATGTTTATCAGCAGATTGGTTACCATAATACAGGCTCTGCCTAGTTTGGGTCCAGACTGTCGCGTGTGAGATGTGTAAAGTTATTATAAATATAATATGTGCCATTTAACAATATACTACAATTAACAATACGTTTTATAAATTAATATTGTTTTAAGTTTTATCAACTTTGGAAAATCCTGCGAGTGAAGAGGCAGGGAAATGTAGGTAGGCTTTGTATAATTTAGTTTGTACACATAGACTGCCACATGTCAAATTACCGATAGTTAATGGCTTCAGATTTTCAATTTCTAAAATATTTGATACTGATATGAGATTATATTGATGATACAAAGGTAAAACCTCATAAGGGCGACTTAACCCGAACGAATATAGAGAAGACAAATCTAATTTCCTCAGTAAAGAATTTAAATATCTGCTCTGGAAGATACCTCCAAATTAATTAAATGCAATATTTCACTGATACAAAGTTGTACTTCGTCTTTAACCGAAGCATAATCATTAACAATTCGGCCTGGAAATATAGTAATAATATTATAGGTAATAATAATAACTACGCCCTTCTGACACAGGGCCGTCTTATCCCAAACTAGGACCTGTACTATAGTACCAGACCCTGCATTATTATTAAAGCGATACCCGTTATTGCGCGGTTTAATGTATTCTCTGGAATTCTCGTGATGTTTCGTGATAGTATTATAATACTGTAAGAAATATAAACCTTCCTCTTGAATCACTTTATTAGTGAAAACCACATTTAAATCCGTTATGTAGTTCGGAAGATCTAAGCGTACAAGATCTATCCGTGTGGTGACGAATTAAGACTACGGAATGTGATCACCCCTATTCTTTCCGTGGGTGTCGTAAGAGCCGACTAAGGGAGCATACTAAGTAAGGCTCAGATGGAAAACTTGAAACAACCCATATACCAACCCGTCTTGCCGGCTTGGTATAATAAGCCAAAACCTTCTTTCCATGGAGAGGTTTATGTCCAACAGTGGACCATTAAAGGTTGTTGATGATGATGAAGCGTACAAGAACGGGAAGCGACTTCATTCTACACTAAGAATAAAACGTGAGAGCGAGATGTAAATTGTGTGTGTGTTTGTCGTGGAGCAGGTGTGCCGCGTGCAGCTGCCGCGCGGGCTGTACCTGGGCTACCTGAAGCTGCAGTCGTCCGTCGAGGTGGTGCGCATCGTGGCGCCCGCGCGCACGCCCAACGTGCCGCCGCACACGCGCGTGCGCGACAACCCGCACGTCTCTGCGTACGTACACTATATTATTTATCTTTTATATATCTCATATTGTCCAGCTCGTAGACCGGCTCGACCGGAGGATACTCGCAGAAAATCGGTGTTAAGCAATTCTGTCGTGGCTTTTCACCAAATAAATAAGATCAACGGAGGTCCAACTCATGCCCCCTCCCTCCTTTGAGTTAGACCCCCCTAGACGACCCTACCACAATCACGCTTGTGTTACTACTCTTCACTAAATCTACGTCCATACACAGCATGCATCGATGTCGATCTAGTGAGATTAAAAATTAAGAAAAAAAATCCCAACAACACTTTATGAATTTTAAAAACACTTTTCTTATCTATTTGTTTCAATTTTTTGCAAGATTAGACAATTAATTTAGTAAATATGTTAATTTTTTGTAGGGAGTGATTTATCTATTATATATATTTAATAATTAGCTGCGGTATTCGCATCTCGCCGATCTTGAAGATACCTAAGTAATTTTCTGCCGGATCAGTTAATTACGCAATACTTGTTAACACATAGTTATAGTTAAACCGCCGTAAGCTTGGCCCTCCTGATGGTTTGGGGGACGCGGGGCGGGGGTGCATTCAACCAATTAGCTAGTGCGTCGCTGTCCGCCGGCAGTGACTGACGTGATAGCATGGCTGTACGTGTTATTTTTCTTAAGACTGCTACACACGGTATTATTTTGCAACATGGATAATCTGCCGACTCTGCGTCACAAAAAGATTTAAAAACTTGAAGTTCGGCTTACAGAAGTTCTACTGTTAAAGTTCTTATAAATAATATTTATTATTTTACTTAATTTTTAAATTGTATCTGAATATAATTTACATGATGAAGATAAGGTGATTTTATTAAAATTATTTTACAGTATTAAATTTTACAATTAATCATAAAAACTTACAATACACTGACATTATAATACATGGAAATAAATTCGATTTTTATTACATCGTGTGTAGATTAAATCTCAAACAAATAAATCTGAAGATAACGAGTTAGTACATCGTGTCATGTATAGCCGAGCGCATCACCCGCCCCGCGTCCCGCAAACCATCAGAAGGGCCAAGCTTACGGCGGTTTAACTATAAGTTGTTCAATCGAAATAAATTATTACCATTATGAAAACATTTAATATTTTGTCTACAGAGAAGAATGGGAATATCTAAAGAGCCAATCCGGCAAAACCGACGACACTCAAGCGATGAACAGTATCACGATAGGCGGTCAGGAGAAACCTTCAGAATCTCAAGAAATATTCCTCGATCTCATAGCTTCGGCTTCCCAAAGACTCTTCAAAGAAATGGAGATTCCTATTGAAAGTATTGTAACCCACCGAATATACGATTTAGAAGTCATCGAACTAAACAACGATGTCAGTTTTATCATGGTCTGTCCGCCTGCAGAACAAGCTTGCTCTGTACCTGGCCAAAAAGAAATTCTTCTCCAGAAAGGAGATCTATTAAGTTTGCCGATACAGGCTTTTGAAATGATCCACCTTCAGACTTATCATTCAAATATATTAAATAAATACTCAAAACTTAGCTGTGTTTTAGAATTGGATGTGGCATTAGCTGCCCACTCACACCGCGAAGCATTTTCCTGCACAGAGCTACAGACAGCCAAAGAGAGACTAACTAAACTAGAAGACTTACAAAACAATCTAAACACGGTGTGGAAGGCAGAACGATGGCTCATGGATCTCATAGGCTTTGCCAGAGACAAAGACAAAACGGTAGCAAGTTATGGAATATTGCTCAAATACATTCTGGATAAAACTCCGACACAAACCGAATGTCCTGTAGAAATAAATGAAAATGATGGCGTCTTTAAAGATTTCTTGCAAATACCTTCGAGAGATGGTAAAATTACTAAAACATCTCCCGGGAGGGGATCGTGGCCTGGTCCAGCTGGAAACGGTAACCATGCTAACTTACACCCAGAGTTTAGCAAATCTGAACAACAATTGAGTCTGTCCCCTCGACAAACATCAGTATCGACACTTAACTTAAGCAGTTCACAATTTCTAAATCCAGAAGCGAACAAATATCCGCGAAAAGGTAGCGCTGACTCTCAGTTCACACAATCGAGTGCTGTTAGTAATAATATACTAAGCAGCAGTTCTCAATTTGATATAAAATCTTCGGGGGGTTCTCATACAAGCATTGGTAGCAATCGACTTCCTCCATCCCGAAGCGAAGACACACTAGTTCTTCAAAACGAAAACGTCGAACCTAAACCACGACCTCACAGTATTAACGCGACTGCATCAACTACTTCAAGCCCCTTACTGACAGTGAAAGGTTATTATCCAGGTAGCATGATAAGCGTTAGAATGACTAAGGGTAATGTGTCAGAATCAGCACAGAGCCTCTCGAGCGACTCAGAGAGCCAAAGTTGTCCAATAACTTTAGTTCCTTTGAAAATCCGTCCTCAAGGGAATCATTATAGAAACCCTTGTAACGTCATAGCATCAAAGAGCATGACGAATGTGAAGAGTGATGTAGACTTCACTGACACTGGACAGGATTACCCAAAGTCTAGTTTGTGTGTCAAACGACAACCGCTGTTGGAAACACAAGAGGATGCCGAGTATAACAATAAAGTTCCAAAGACTGATGAGAGGAGGGAAGAAGAAGTGAAGGCTCCGGAGCTACGCACTCCTGACCAAGCGGGTATTTTGCAGGTAAATAATTTAATTCATATGCTCAATTACTAGTAAGTTCCCATGTCCATTTGTCAAACGATAAGTCAATAAATATTTTCAACATCCGAAATGATAGAGCTTCCTTACTCTATGATCATAGTATTTCTGAAGCATACTTAGTAAAAATCCAAGTATCGCTGGTCCAAACGCAGTTCTTCTAAATTTAAAAGTTGTGAGATCTAATTGTTACTTAATTTGTTAACTTACAACCTTTTTCCAATTTTGTTCGTCTTGACGCGGTCCTGTAGTGCCCCAGATTAACAAAGTGTTCATTTGTCTTGAAATGAATGTGTAAATTGTTTGTTCACTCTGCAGGTATTCGCTGCATATGAAACTGGTTTGGCATCAGGGACGTCCCTGAAACTCCACGTAACTCCACGGACATCTGCGCGGGAAGTCATTGACCTAGTTGTCAAACAACTCAACATGGCCGCCGTGCTCAAAGGGAAATCCGGCCCTGTCTATGGCCCCGAAAAACTTCAAGATTTCTGCCTCGTAGCTGTCATTGGAGCCAGGGAAAGATGCCTTCGAGATGATTTTAGACCGTTGCAACTCCAAAATCCATGGAGAAAAGGAAGATTATATGTTCGGCTCAAACATGATGTATTAGCGGCGTTGCAACATTCTGCCAAGCAGCCCGCCTACATATAAAATGTTTAGTTTAATAGACAAATGATTAGAATTATGTTCCGTGGCATAGTTTTGTGGTTGAAACTATTTAGTCACCGTAGAAAGAAGGATCCATTGAAATGAAATGGTTCTTGCGGTAAACATAGACTTCAAAGTTTCTCTATTTTTACACAAGTCTTAGTAAATATTATGTGATTATGTCACAAAATACTTCCTCCGTAAAGTACCTCAACGAAAGAGTTGGTATCCCACATTGTTGTTTAAGTTTATAATTTATATCTTCCCAAAAAGTCTGAATCAGCTTTGCGATGAACGATAATTTTGTTCATACAGTTTGCCTGAACCTATTTAGATCATTAACAACTAATCTGTCTTATCAGATGACAAGATACAGTCATTGAATATTTAATAAGGGTATTTATTATTCATTAAGTATTTTGGAACTTTTTTTCTTTTGCTACTTAAATCACACTTTATCCAACATGGCCCAAGCAACTACACAAAGTGTAAAATTCATAAACGCCTAGTATTTGCTCTCAAAGGGCCAGTAATTCGAATGTCATTAAATCACATAAAATACTTTAATAATAAATTCGCTTGTTTATATTCGATAGCCCTACTGAAGAGAGTATGCGTCCTACGAGAACGCCAAAACGACGTCATGGCTCTATATAGGTTACTCTATATACTTTTTGTATAAAGAAATCATTCTATTATACAATACTATAAATCGCATGACCTTTAAGTTTAAACTTTATTGCACATTGATTATGATCTGAAGATAATATATTCTAAAATCATTGTATGTTTTTCAACTTGTAAACTTTCTACGGTGACTAACCAAGTTATTAGTTTCAGTTTTGGTGCCAAGTTCTTATTTTGTTAATGCTTTAAATAGTTAAGTGAAAGTTGTGAGTAACAATAGTGAATATTTAACAGAATTTATGGTGCTTTTCACTGTAAAATATTGTCGCTTTAATCTCCATCAATCATATTTCAATAAGGTTCAGTGCTGATGGCAATTTATTACTTCTGAACCGCAAACTATGATGATCAGAAGGCCTAATGCAAGTTTTTTATACATCGACTCGCTCTGCGCGTGCGTGGTGATTAGTAAAGAGTTTAGTGAGGGCCAATCGCAGCTCCGAACTCAGTCACCGTGACGATCGAGTAGATGTGAAATAAACTCGTACTTGGGCCTGCCATGAGTTGGCTGTGCCATGAGTTAAGTGACTTTTAAAAGTACGGGAAATGTTGATGTTTTTGTAGACTTGATGATTTTTCACACGTAACTAGAGAAGGTGATGCGGTTTAGCAAACATTAATGTCTTCAGTTTTTTCTTGATTTTGACCAAGATTTCCGTTTAATATGAAGGATTAAATAGGAATTATATATAAAAAAACTTCATATGAAAAGTAGAAATGTATATTGTAATGGAAGAGTACTAATTAAATAACAGTTGATTAGGAATCAACCTAGAAACAAAGCATACGATAAAGTGCTAGTTTTTTCTTTTAAATATGTATAGGTACTTAAATCTTGGTCATAGACAACATGGGGCCTGATCACTGAGCCTGGATTAATTATTTGTTAGACTGTCATAGATTATGCTAAAGGTATTCCTGTGTAGATGAATTTCTAATTCTTGTCGTGCTGTTTATGTAGATCTGTAAATCAATCTTTCTATCCTTAGATAATAGCGTCAGTTTACCTACTATAAAGTTTCCCATCTAACAATTCGTAAATAGGTAAATCATTTTTCATCACAACCATAACGAAATTATTTTTTCTTCAAATACGACTTTTTGTACTTGTAAAGTATTTATTAAAATTTACATAATTTATTTTTATAAATAAATTAAAGTCGTACAACGTGTCATGTATCGAAGTGCCTGATTAATTTTCAATTAAAACACCGATAAAATCATATCTCTGAGGTAAACAGGGTTGCCCTTTTATTATTGTCTGGAAATGTAACATGTTTTAATTGCCAAACGTTAAAAAATACACAGAGAAATGTAATAAAAAGAAATAAAATAATTTTGTACGGTTCGTTTTTATTCTACGTTCATTGCATTTGATTAAACCAATTCAAATTTAATATTAAAAAATAGGTGTAGTATACCTAAATGTAAATAGAAATTTGAAATTAATGGAATCAATAGTTGTAATTAATATAGATATATTTTGATAATTTTAATTGTATCCTAATTGTGCAGATAATTACAGTTATTTTATAAATAACTTTATTTTCCATTTTTTAAACCTTTTTTTATTGTGTGCTGAATGATTATTTAGCTTAAATTATAGCCTAAATGTTTATGTTTTAGCACCATAGATCTCCAACGAATTATTTTGTTATTTAAATTTTACTTATGAAATATCTAATGACACAATTGTGAATGTACTGAATGACTGTTATATATTATTAATTTTAAATACAATACTCAAGTTCCATGTAATTTACAATAATTTTATCGTAATATAATTGTAAATTCTGTAGGTAATGGCCGTGTATAAAAGGGTGTGTGTGTATAGGACTTAAACTTGAAGAAAAAAGTATAAGAATATTATTATCAATGATTCGAGCCATATAAAAGTAAAGTTGCAATTTTTAATAAAGCCTAATTGAATGTCTTATGATATAAAATAATTTAAAATTTTATTTTAGATTATCATGTATGTATTCACCCTATCTGGTGTTGTACATTAGAAGTTAGTGAGAGTGGGTTCATGAAATGATGCACAAAAATAAATGTATTTCAAATCCTTTACTATATTTTTATTTCAACGGCGTATAGTAACGTCCTTGAGTATCAGAATGCTATAGCGACAGTTTTAACACCATCACCATCACCAATGTACACTAAAACAATGTAGAAGGAGACTTAGGTATTTAATAGCATAAGATAATAATAATTATCTAGAACAAAAAACGTTATAAAACAGAATTTGAGTGGCAGTCTACCATACCACACGTACATATGAACACTTAACACACTGGCTAGGTTCTTGTCAAACTGCTTCTACAATAAATCATCATCGTCAGCCTATCGCAGTCCACTGCTTACCTTACCCCCTTAGAGGTGAATTTGATATTTATTAGAACAAATGTAAGTACTTGGGTTTGCCAGACAGATATGTGTGGCGATGGCGACAACCAAGGTTGCAGGAGGAGCCGTGCGCCCGTATACATATCTAAGTCTTTAGAGCGGACTTTACGGATATCTTCTGTTGTGCTCTGAGTAAATTCACAAGGATCATCAACAGCGTTTAATAGTTCACTGCTGGACGTAGGCCTCTCTTTAGGAGGTTTTGAAGTACTATATCACGCTGGCCAGACGGGTTGGTATAAGATTTGAGGCAAGGATAACATTGCGCAGAATTATACGGGACGAATTTTTTTTTTGCTCTATTGAAAAAAAAGCTATAGTTTCAAGATTTGAAAGTCCTTCTTAATAAGTATATGAGTTACCAATGAATTGATTGTTAGAATTTTCATCTACTGATGGTAACTAAATACCTTATTTTACAGATTCTTATTTGTTCTAAGCGTCCATGGTTCTAAGTGCCAAATTTAGTATATAGGTTGTTCATTTGACCTTCACACTGACTAGCATTAATGATAGTGTGTTTTGAATTATTTCTTTGACTTTTAAAAGTTAAGGTGTTTATAAATTAAAAACTTGTAGTTTCAACCTCTTTTTTAACTTTTTATTTATTATTTGTCAAGCATAAAGAAACCTACTAACTAACTAAAACACTACTAAACACATACCTTGCACAAACCCTTACCGTAAGCGCTTAAAAATGTGTATGTATTAAAATGTGTATTGGATTAAAAAAAGAATTCCGGCCAGTGAATTATCTTATAGGTATAAAACAAACCAAAACCTCATTTCTAAGGAGAGGCTTATGTCCAGCAGTGGTCTATTAAAGGCTGTTGATGATAAAATAAAAATTAATTACTGTCATACATGTTTTGACGGAGTATCCCTTGAGAACGGCTCAACCGATTTGGATAAATATTTTTTTGTTGTTTACCTACGTTATTATCAAAACTCGGTTCGTATATAAGGCAATTAAAAAAAAATCATACAAGTATTTTTTTGCACATCAGCCTAGGAAGCAAGAAAACTAACTACATCCTGTTTCAAAAATATAACGGACTTGAGGGTAAATTAAAAAGTAGTCACTCTTCAGTTTGAGCTTGCGTCCGTTATTTTTTTTTTAGCGACAACAGGAATAAATATATGCTGTGTCGCGGGGGACTTTACAAACACACATGAAACGGCCACAAAGAACACCCAGACTTAGAACAACAATTTGTGGATCACACAGAGTGTAGTTCCACGTGGGGATCGGACCCACAGCACTCAGCGTAGTAGTAAGCGACGTGGCGACCGCTTAAACCACTACGCCATTCGTGCAGTCAAAGTTTTTACTTTTATAATATGCTTCAGACATAATTAGGCACTAGTCTAAAACATATCTAAGAACAAAACACAATAAATTAAATTATTTCATCAATATTTTCAGCGATTCTTGTGATATCGGCAGCTACAAATATCAAATCATACAAAATCGCGGCATTGCTTTGTGGGCTGTAATTGGTCGATTGAGTGGACATATAACACTCAAGCGCTCAATACCTCTTACGACGTAGGACATAGAATAAATAAGCGCAAAATTAACATTACCGTATCGTGTCACAAATAAAATTCAAATGGTTTTTAATTGTTTTAAAAGCAAAAGGTTCTAAAACTTCTTTAACCAACAGGTGTAAAATTTAAATCTTAACAATACTGTATTCAAAGTTAATTTTCGATAAATTGGTCGATAGAACAAACAAGCACGATGGCGACGATTGAATACTATTTGTTATAATATGAACAAATAATACAACGGGCCCGCGTCGGTCTAATTACCACGGGCCCCGCGCTGCCCTGTCCCAGAGCCCTGTGGAACACCGAACGACGTAGATAGGCCGATGTGTCAAACTTGAAACAAACCCAATACTCTATAGGGTTAGTTTCTTGTAACTTATGTGTGTGAACCTGGTAGAACCAACCCGTCTAGAAGATTTATTTCAGCATTTAGTTGTCCATGTTTCATGAACATTGTCATATTTCTCAATCTAATTCGAGCTGGAGAATGTTAATTCGTTCGGCTTATCAATTTTACTATATTTTGTTTGGAAAGTAATTACTTTTTGGAATTAAAAAAAGATTATAAGTTCATAAAAAGTAAAAAATACGTTTTAGTTGAGTTGGCAATGGCAACACTGCCTCCTCCTGATCTGTCACTCGTACGTTGATGACGGAGACGGTTGATGTTGATGACTTGTTGTAGAAGTTGTCTGTCACTTTATTTGATTCAGTCACAACTGTTTTAAGTTAATACTTTCTCAATATAAAATTAAGGGGAATCTACTAACTTAAATATTTTAAGTAAGGTAAAATAATTACTTCAATATGAGTTTAGTTGCAAATACCGGGTAAGAAATATTGAAATTATTGATCAATTAAATAAACTGTTCTACTTTCTGCTGATATTTTAATAAGTATATAAATTAGGAAATTGGCTGGCCGGACGCTCTTCATTACGGGAGCTTCTCGTGGTATTGGTAAAGCAATAGCGTTGAAAGCTGCAAAAGATGGTGCGAACGTTGTTGTGGCCGCAAAAACCGCCCAACCTCATCCAAAGTTACCTGGAACCATATACAGTGCTGCTGAAGAAAGTATGTACTTAAAACTCATATTCAATACTAATAAAACTTACTATGATTATGTAAGTTATGTTCAGTCAAAAATAATATATCATTTAATACAATAACAGAGTTATTTTAGTTTGGACTTTGAACTTTAGCACAGACACATTGACCTGCTATTCGAGTGTCTCTTGTTTACAGTTAAAACAAGAAGCTTTTATGAATTTCTTAAGTTTAATAATTGATATATATATTTAATCTTAAAAGTTAATGATTTATTATTCTTTTTAAATTATAAAAATTTTAGTTGAGGCCCTTGGAGGCAAGGCTCTACCATGCGTTGTTGACGTCAGGGATGAGAAGCAAGTACAGAAAGCTATAGATGATGCTATTAAGAAGGTAACCACACCTAATGTGTAAGTTAAGTAAAAAAAGTGTTTGTAACACAAAGCTGTCTGATCCCAAACTAGGCAGAAGCATGTACTATGATAAACAGACTGCTGATAAACATACTTATATATTTCTAAATATATACATAAATTACACCCAGACACAGAACAAATGACCGTGCTCATCACACAATTATTTGTCCTGGGTGGGAATCCATGACCTCTAGAGCAGTCAGGGTCACTAACCACTAGACCAACAGGCCAGTCATCTAACTTTGAATTGCCTGACGTTTTAATCAGTTGCACTTGACTGTAGTCATTGCCAATTGTCATGTAACCATCATCAGTGCAATCTGTTTGTCAACTTGTTATATGGTTGTATTACTTCCCAAAGAAAGAAAAATTTGTTTTATGTATTATGAAGAAATGCAGAAGTTTAAAACTTATCATTTTATTTACACAGGCATTAGTGGTTCTGTTATCTTATTATTAGTTTAAATGTCTTTGTTTATTCTTTGTAACATTTTGATGTACTACTATGTTTTGACTACTATGTTATGCTGGTATATATCAAAAATCTATAAAGAGATATGTGTTCACATCTTGTAGTTCAATAGGAACCCTAATTGTTTTTATGTGCTTGGCATTAAAACCTTAATTAAATTTACCACATTATGACTATTGAACAAAATTACATTTATTTTTTTACATTTATTCATTTTCTTTTAATGATAAAATTTTACAGCTTGTCAAACCTTTGAACCCACCTCACTATCTCATGATATGAAATTTATTTATTACAGTTTAATGGCATTGACATTTTAATCAACAATGCATCAGCAATTTCTCTGACAGGCACTGCAGAGACTGATATGAAACGATATGACCTGATGCACAATATCAACACCAGGGGAACATATTTAGTGTGAGTACTATCATTCTATGTTTGCACACTAGAATCGTAAATATAATTCAGAAATGGACATACTGTGGCTGAAAAAAATGAGAAAGAAATGGTAGGAGACAATTTGAACATGCAAGAGTCGTTTAGCTGCAACTAGAGTTGCAAGGAAGTCAAATAAAAATGTTAAGAATAAATATTACTTAAATCTATACAGGTATCTGTTCACCAAGAAGTAAAGTATAATATTCTTTTACAGGTCCAAATTATGTTTGCCACTACTGAAAAATAGCAACCACGCCCATATCCTGAACTTGTCTCCACCACTTAACATGAATCCCTACTGGTAAGTAACAATATATTACTTTAAGTAAGAATGGCAAATAATTTACTAGCGACTCATACACCATTTTTTAAATATCCCTTAAGATCAAGCTATAAATTATTGTTTTACTTTCCTAATCTAAAAACGTAATATAAAACCATACTTAAAAATTTTGTAACTGATGGCAAAATCCAAGTGAAGTTGTTACGTTGTTTAGAAGCAGATACACAGACATTTGTTTTATACTTAAGAAGATAAGGATAAGTTTTAGAATTTGGAAGTATCTTATCTGCATATTTATTTAAATATTATAGAGCAAAGGACATGAGGAGAGATGGGCAAAAGTAACATTTACATAAACAAAGTGCAGTCAAAAGTTTAATAATTGATATGATGTATTTTATATTAGACTAGCTTTGAAAAGCGCTGCCTTAATGAGTACGATTCCTGGACCAGGAAAAATTTTATAGGGTTTTTCTGAGAGAAATAATAGGCCATGATACTCCTTACAGCTACTTGGTAGTAAAATATTATCAAAATCAGTCCAGTCATTTTGAAGATTACATGAAACAAACAGAAATATAGACAGACTGCCCGATACCTATGCCTAAACTGGTTTTTAGGCATAGGTATCGTGCAAACAACCTTGTAATACATGAAAAAACCAATTATTTTGACATTACAAACAGACACTTCAATTTTATTTATTTGTATAGATGTTGCAGTAGAGAAGTTATTTTTATATAAAACTAGACTTTGTTCGCGTGGAATTTGAAAAGAGCTGCCTTAGTGGTATAGTACGATACGCGACTGCAGTCCATGAGGCCTCGGGTTCGATTCCCGGACCGGGCTAAATTTTGTAGATTTATTCGGTGAGGACAAAAAGCCCAAGTTACTCCAAGTTATTCAACTAGAATCCTGAGGTTTTTAATAGTAAAATGGTTGATGGTGAGACGAAATGTATATAGTTTACTAGCTCTTGCCGGCGGCTCCGCTCGCGTGTATGTCGGTTAAAAAGTAGCCTATATTACACGCTGATAATGTAGCTTTGCATTGCTGAAAAAATGTTTCGAACAAACAAATTTACTTTTACATTAATAATATAAGTATGAATAAGAACCAAGAAAAATTGTTATCCTCTGTAGTTGTAACTGGATTAGTTTTTAATTCATTTTGTAATGTAAACTTTTTTTTTAGGTTTTCAATCCACGTGGCGTACACTATGGCTAAATACGGCATGTCTATGTGTGTTCTCGGCATGAGTGAGGAATTCAAACCATTCAACATCGGAGTCAATGCACTGTGGCCTAAGACTGGTAAATTTACTGTTCTTACAATACTTATACATATACACTTATATTTATAATCTCCTCCTGCAGCTCCTTACAGGCAACTGTACCCCGTGTTTTCTCTACGCTTTTATCTCTATGTTCTGAACTATGTTTTCGATTCTATTGTGGGCACCTCTAAAATTAAAATTTAACCTTGCAGTCATAGAATGTTAGTACTCACACTAAATAGTTATGTTCCCTTGGTGTTAATAATATTGTCCATCAGGTCATATCGTTTCACATGTCTCGGCAGTACCTGTCAGAGATATTGTTGACGCATTGTTGATCAAAATGTCAATACCGTTAAACTTCAAAAAAATATTAAAAGAAAAAAAGGCCTATTTACCTAACATTGGGTATTTTACTGGCTGATTTTCTAACTGTGATACGTTGTTTTTAATACGACTAAGTAGTATTTGATGATGTCATTTTCAGCCATCGCGACCGCTGCCATTGAGATGTTAACAGGTGATACATCAACCAGTCGCAAACCTGATATCGTATCTGACGCAGCCTATGTCATGCTTTGCAAGTAAGTTTCCGACTTGCAAAAATATCAAAAAAAGATTTACTTACAGAAATAAATATCATTTATCATCGATATGCTTGAATTAAAAGAATGAGCAACGGCGGACAATCGGTGATATTCGTCATTAGTCATCATCAACAGTCTTTAATAGTCCACTTCTGGACCTCTCCTTAGAACAGAGGTCTTGGCCTACTATACCACGCTGGCCAGATTGGTTGGAATAAGGTTTGTTTCAAGTTTTCCTTCTCTTTACAGTGCTGTTGTCCTGCGTAGTTTGCTCCTTTAGTCGGCCCTTACGACACCCACGGGATGAATAGGGGTGGTGACACTCCGTATTTGTACTCCGTCATCACACAGATATCGGCGAAATTAATAATAATATATCGCTTTATTGTACACCAGGTATAAATATACAATAATTAAATTAGGTTAGACAAGTACAAATGGTATTGTATTGTCCTGTAAAAAATATAAAATATATAGCAGAACAATTCAACTGTAGAAGAGCCAGGCTTTGGCGCATATGGGGCATCTCCACCGGCATGATACCACGGATTTACAAAATACCGGTGTTAACCAATTTTCTCGTTCCTTTTCACCAAGTCAGTAAGGTTACCGGATCCTGAAACCCTTCTCGTTCAAAATCAGGCGGGGGGGGGGGACTTAAAGGCCGACAATGCAATTGTGACTTTTGAGTTGCACGTGTCCATAAATGGTGGTAGTCACTTACTGTCAGGTGCAGGTGCAGCTCGTTTGCCCCTTATACTATAAAAAAAGATTAATATTTAAGTATGTATTTACAGGGACCCTAAAACATACACTGGCAACTTTGCCATCGACGAAGATGTACTCAAAGCAGCTGGAGTCAAGGATTTAACGCCATATGCATGCGACCCCAGTAAGTTCTTATTATTTTATACCTACTTTTGTGTTTATACTGTAATTGACCTATGAAGTTGGAGATTTTTATAACTATAGAATATATTTTTTTTCTGATTTAATTATCTGTGGATTGGCGTCCAATTCTAAATTAAAATATTTTTTTGTCGAAAGCCATGTTACTTTAATTTAAAACTTAGTCAATTGTTATACATAGTGTTTTGTTTTAGTGAAGTTATGGTAGTTTTTGGCGCCATGGAGTAACTGAAAATTCGTTTTAGAAAATATTCGAATATGAGTTCTCTGTCTGTAAAAAAGAAAGATTACCAATAGGAAGATGATGGTGACTGTCTGGTGGACCAGTGCCGGGCTTGTACATCACAGCTTTTTACCAAATGGCACAACAATGACAGCAGATGTCTATTGCCAAGAATCGCAAACTCACTCTTCCCCATTGCTTTATTAAGATACAGCTGGAAGCTCTCCGTCTATATGTCTTGCTTATTAAATTGTATTAAAACTATTTTGACATCTATTACACTCATACATGTTTAGATAGACTGTAAAAGTTGTAAAAACTAAGTAACTTTGTCTGCTGTCACTTTGTCAACTGTGTTGTCGCTGTCACTATAAGCGCTCGATTTGCACGCACACCAGCTTAATAAAGTTAATCCGTCTGTTTTTTCCGTCGAGTTTTGTAGCTCGACACTCCATCTAAATGATCTAAGATTACGACAGTACTACACTATTGAGTACATTTTAATGCTAAATAAAAAACACAATTCCTTGATGGATCGCAAACTTGTATAATTCGAAAAGTTTATAAATAATGAGTAAAGGGGATGTTTTTGATGCAGAAAACGTCAATAACCTATTACTGGACGGTTTCCTGGACGATCCGGCGTCTGTAAGCCATAACAAGGCGACCGTCAGTACGGCGTCCATGCGACGCTACCATACCTCCGCGGTTAACTACAAGGAGAAGGAGGTTTGTCTATGATAACATTCTGAAAAAAATTGCCAGACCAAATATTGACTTTGTACTTAAAACGCTTTTTATTATGTAGATAATTGCATGTAATATTATTGCATCCTGTATACACCTTTCTATGTTTCTATTTAATTTTGTATAATTTATAGTAGTGTTGTAAATATTCTAGTTTTCTACAAATTAAATACATTACTATAGAATATAGTAAACATAGAACTATATAATAAATTAACTATAGAATCTTGTAGTCATAGACAAATTCGGATTTATAAAATGAAAATAGTGCCGGCTGTTCAGGAAACCGTTCCAGCTATGTCAAATTAGCTCTTTAAAAATCAATTGAGAAATGTGTATTTGTTTATAGGTAATGTAGACAATCTGTTATTCGACTTTTTCTTGGATGTACCCGGTGCACCAAAGCTGATGGAAAAAAAGGTCTGAATTATCAAAATGTATTATATAATGTGGCCATTGATAACCAATTGAAATTGCTTGTTTATTCTGTTAATACGTTCGAAATAATTTGATGGTTTTAAACTGCTGGAGCGGTATTCTGCATGGCTTTTTTATGGTTGTGTTGGTCATTTGACAGTTATTCAAATAAACTTAAATGAAACATATGTATGTATAGTTTTTGTTAATTATTTTTATTTATTATTCGACATCAGTGATGTTGTATCAGGTTTTGTTTGAGTACCTTGCAAGTAAGGCAGCTTTAAAAATAGTAAAAATACATGTTGACAGGGTGCCGCCGCAGATGGTCAGATCCCAGCTCTGTTCCAGTCCATCAGCAAAACTCTCACACCAGAGTTGGTCAAGAAAACGCAAGCTGTGTATCAATTTAATGTTAAAGGTATCTCAACTGTTTACTTCATAATTTTCAAAAAAATAATTTAAAACACATGTTCTGTATCTGAATCTCTTCTTGGATGTGAATTTTTCTAGAAAGTTAGTGTACAGCCTAATGTTAAAAAATACATTTAAGTTAGAAGCTCTCAGTTGTCATTATAAAACTTATCTGGTTTATTATATTTTTTAGCTCTCCACTGTTATTTAGCTTCAAATTCATAAAAATAAGAAAAAGTATGTGGACAACATGAACTAATAAAATATTTTATAAATTGTTTAAGGTTGTGCTTTTGAATTATTGGTATCCTGAAATTAATTTTCAAACTATGTATCTCCATTTTTTTATAATTTTATCATTTTCTTAGGCATAGCACAAAATGCAGTTGACATAAATGTTAAAAAAATGTAATGAAGTTAACTTGTAACAATGAATATTTAGGTAAAGAGGAGGGTGTGTGGCACATCGACCTGAAGAACGGCGCGGGTGCGTGCGGCCAGGGCGAGCCCAGCAACGCTCCCGACGCCACGCTCACTATGGATACACAAAACTTCGCTGATATGTTCACGGGTATACAGATTTTTTTTCATTTGTGAAATAAACATTTTTTCTCTCGCTTTATCTATATATTAAATGAATAGTTGAACAAGTTTAAAAAATTTTTTTTTTTATTTTGTTAAAATATAAACGAATGTTAAACGATTTGGCGATGGCAAAGTATGGCGTCGCAAGTTTTTATTATTAGACAGAGATGGTAGGCATGATATAATTATGAAAAAATTGGTAATATCTTTTTGTAATTTCTTTTTTTTTTCAGGTAAACTGAAGCCTACAACAGCTTTCATGATGGGAAAGTTGAAGATCAGCGGTGACCTCCAGAAGGCCATGAAGTTAGAGAAAATGATGAAGTCGCTTAAGAGTAAGCTGTAAAGGTGCAATAATATTTGTGAAACACCATCACTATATCATGATGGTTTATTTTTATCTCTAAGAGACAAGATATATATTTTTACAATGAATTTTAAAATGGCAGCCTTTACCTAAACTGAAGAATATAATCATTTGGGCGTAAGGGCTTATAATAAAGTATTCTAACTATAAAACTTTGGCACTTGCGTGAAACACCAATAACATCCCAGTTACGAAACTACACAAAAAATGGAAAATAGCTTGCATAACTATGACTTATTAGTAATACACCCTATTATGTGCCTTATCAGTATACACAAGAGATTATTTTGCTCTAACTGCGCAACCTGTACTCGCGAGTTAAGATTTCGTTAAATCGTAATTAGAAAAAAAAATTATGTCTCCCGACCGAAAGTTGCCCACGAACTGAGCGTGACATTATTTTATCTGTGGCACATTCTGTAAGGATGATTGTCATCTGATTGGGCGAACGAGCCTCCGTTTATCATGAAGTCATGACATTTCTAAATCTTTTTTCTTTTTTTTTGACAAAAAAAAAAATCTAAATATAATAACTCTGGTGATAATGTCATAGAGTATAAAGATCTGAACAGCAGGAATATTTTTTACTGAGGTCGGTCTAAGTCAAGGTTAAGCGCGTGTTTAAAAACATCACAAGAAAATTAATTTGTCGTAAATAAACAGTAATAACTGTGTTAGGACAAGAAAACATTTTACAGGTAAAATGTACAGTTATAACTTTATTATAAGACTAAGAAAATATCTCTTAGAAATGTTACTTGATAGTTCTGTTTTTTTTCGTAAATTAGCCTTTTATACATTTATTTTTAAATGATTTAACATATCATTTGATATGAATCTTATTTATTTCTAAAGTATTTTATGCCGTTTGAAACAGAAATAGCTTGTAATATTACAATACCCATAGCAAGTTATTTTCCTTTTCCATCATAAATTAGGTTTTATTTTGTGTTGTGAATGTTAGATACAAAAAGGTGCCTTACATATGGTCAAAATACAGAATACTACCACTAATTATGTATAGTAAAAAAATATAGTTTGTAAATAAAGAATATTTTACTATTTGTTTTTTTCATTTCTTAGCCTAAGTAAATAGTTGATCTAATCTCATGATTAGATTTGATAAACTTGGAAAATGTTTAAACAATACCGTGAGCAGTAATTGCCTATATTGTCCCCTTTCCTTATTACTTGGTTATAATCAAGACCCCAAACAAATGGAGGTAAGAGAGGAATAAACTTTTGTCCCCGTAGCTATAAAGAGTACTAGCTATTACGGGGCAGCGCTCGGGGAAAATTTGTTGTATTTTTCGGAAAGAATAATTCACTTTCGCATTTACTTAAGTTAAGGTTCGATAAAACTATGGGACAAAACGTATACATTAGATGACTCCGCTATCAAATGGCGAAATAGTTGAAAGTACAAAAATTGATTTTTTTTATGATATAAGGGGGCAAACGAGCAGACGGGTCACCTGATGGTAAGCAACTACCGCCGCCCATGGACACCTGCAACTCTAAAGTCACTATTGCGTTTCCGCCCTTGGAGTCCCTCCCGCTCGAGTCAGCGGAGCAAAAAAAAAGTTAAAGGTACAAAACTCCGAAGACACGATGAGTAAAATTAGAAGGAAATTACAGCCTCGTTACAAAACTTACATTTAACAACCATATACCTAATAAACTGAGAGAATTCGAAAATTGTAATGAGCTGCCCGTCAAGACGAGATTATTTATAATACATCATTATAATAATCAATTTGTACGATCAATGTAGGTACTATTAGACTCCATTTGCCTATATTAATCTAATAGTACCTACATTGACCGTACAAATTTCAAGGTACTTGGCTATCTACCTACAGGAAAGTTAAGAAGGAACGTATTAGGTACGATGTTGTAACATTAAATGTCTTTTAAATAACAATAACAACCGTCCTACTTTGATCATAAGCTATTTGCGTTTCGTCATACTACAAAGACTTTTGATAACCTTGTTATCGCTATCGAATTCTCCCGCGGTTTAGATCAACCTTGAGTTTGCTAGGTTATGTTCATTAAACTGTCAGCTGGTAACTATTATTGACGTTTACTTCAGCTGGTAGCTCAGTTCTAATTAAACAACATTTTTTATACTCTTAAATATGGTTTCTATCGATGCTCCTGTGGAATTGCAAGACTCTGAATTCTGTAATTATCGGTCCCCGCTGAGTACCCGCTATGCTTCCAAGGAAATGCAATACAATTTCAGTGACCAGAAAAAGTTTTCAACCTGGAGAAAATTGTGGATTTACTTGGCAAAAGCTGAAAAGGTCAGTGACTATTGATTAATTAAAGAAGATTACTTACATCAGAGTCAATGAAGTTTTATGTTTAAAATTGAGTTTGAGGTTATGCTTTGGTTATGAATGTTAATATATTTTGATTAACTATTGTCAATTGATTGTAGGCTTGGTTTATACCTACGTGGACGTCAGAAACAATGAAAGTAAAAATAATTTTGATTAAGTAAACAGGCAGATTCTGGCGCCTTCTTAAATAATTAAACTAATTTTGTAATTAAGTAGATATACGTTTTGTAAGACTCAAAATAGGCAAACATCCTATTAGAATTATGTTCTAAAAATAAAATTACGAATTTAACAATAGGTACCATCGCAATCATTGATCTGGTCTACATGTCGCTTATCAACTAAGTATCTGTAAAGGTAAAGTAGGTACTTACAGGCAAGTACTAAAACAATGGCCGGAGTCTTTCAAATGGGAAATTTTTAACAGCGCTTCTATTTTCAATTTAAGCTAACGAAGTATCTCGCCACTAATTAACTTACTGTATACTAGTGATGTGCCGGATATCCGTATCCGTATCCGTATCCGCGGATATCCAAGGGAGAAGAGAGATCCGTAACCGTATCCGTATCCGTGACTTTTTTGGCGGATCTTTCAATACATATTACATTGATGAAATTCTATATAGGTGATTTTGTATTCACTGTAAAACTCTTAGGTATGTGTTTGTAACACTATACAAAGCAACTGTTTTTCTGGCCAACGTCAAAATGAAAAAAAATCGGTCCTCCATTCAAATGACTAATCAAATGTTGTTGGTTTGTATGGAGAAACAATTTTTTTTCTTTCGTTTTCAGTGTTAGTCCACAAGAAAAGTTGTTGTTTATAATGTTACTAATATGCACTTCAGAGGTTTTCAGTAAATTTAAAATAACCCTGAATAATGGTTATTAGGTAGCTATGAAAAACTATTGAATTCTGTTCAGATTACTTTTTATTTCTTAAAACAAATATTTGGCACCTTTGCATTGCAATCATTTATCGTACTACACTAAATCAACTAGGCAGGTCGTAGGTACTGAAAGAGCTATCTTTATAATGAGATCAATCAAACATCTTTGTATTAGCTTATTAAAATAATGAAATATTTAAATATCAACGGCAAAGCGTCAAGTGGCGACAACTATCAAGGTCACGGGCTCCGATTGAGTAAGAAACTTAAGATCCGTATCCGTATCCGCGGATCTTGACACCAAATATCCGTATTCGGATCCGTATCCGCGGATATACTTTGTTAACGATCCGGCACATCACTACTGTATACATACCAGGAAAATGGCTACTCAGCATATATTATCTTCTTGAGTACCTATCTAAATATGTTTAACCAAAAAACATTTAAATTTTTATCTAATTAACAACTAGATGATGCAAAGATATACTTTTATTAAACAAAAATAGGTATTTATTGTTTAACAAAAATACTGACTTCCATAGCATGCTAAGTTAACCACAACGTAGCTAGGTTAGGGTAGCACTGCGACCACAAAGCACGAGCCAAGCGAGCGTGCTGCTTTTAAATTTTAAAATGTCTACATTTCTTAAGCCCTTTTTTTCCCCTGATTTCGAAAACAGGGGTGATTCGGGTGCCTCCTTAAATAATCAAAATAATTTGGTTTTCAGACGAATCCTAACTATCGGCATTTGTTTCAGTTTCGTCTAAAACCGCACCAAAACTCAAAGTATCATTTTAATATTCCGATTGTATAAAAAAAACACTAAATGTCAAACTAGTGTATTTTTAGCCATTTATCTGCTTCTACCGTCTAAAACCACTGTAATAAAGTAGACGCATGGCATTAATCCTAAAAAATAGGAAAATGATATATGTAGGTAGAAAGAAATAAAAGAAAAATACGTAGGTAGGTACTAAGTACTAGTAATTCACCTGTCCAAACTAACTAGATATCACGCGATAGCCGGGCAAGGACGAGGTGACCGTTTAGTGTGTTTAGGTGGCGTTTAGTCCGTTCAAATTACCTAGTTAGTACCTACTTAACGTAAAGAAACTAAAGAGCACACGTAGTATAAGTTTTTTTGAATTATTAAAAATGTTATAATAGGGGTACAGAATGTCGGGCACGCCGTCATCGCGGCGGTAAGACCCGTTATGGAGGATTGGCTCGAGAGGCGTCACGGGACCCTCTCATACCGACTGACGCAGGTGATCACTGGGAAAGGATGTTTCGGGGATCACCTGTGTCTGATCCGCAAGGAGCCAACGCCTGAGTGCCACCACTGCGATGGCCAGACCGTGGACACGGCTCTCCACACGCTGGCAGAGTGCCCGGCGTGGGTTGAGCAGAGGCGAGACCTCGTGGCGGCCATCGGAGTGGGAGTTCTCTCGCTCGATAGCCTGATTTCGGCTATCGTGCGGAGCGAGAGTGCGTGGAACACTGCCGTCTCCTTCTGCGAGCAAGTTATGCCACCGATAGGTGGTATCCGAGGGGATTTCCGCACGGAAAAAAAAAGCCGTGTGGTGTCGTGGGACACCCGATAGGAACGAAGTTGTGACGATCAAGTAAAACTGATTGGACACGATTTTAATTACAATGCCATCTATGAAAGCGGCTATTACCTACATATTTTTCAATTGGTTTCTAATTAAAACAATTTATACATTGGTAAAATCT